CGAGGTGAGTCTAATTCCACCCCCTCCATTCCCAGGGTCCCCCACGCCCTCTCTCTTCTGTCCCTCTACCTTCCAAAGAGCTCGGCTCGTCCTGGCCTTGAAAGCCCTTTGTGCCAGACCCTGCTTCTCTAACTGCCTCATTCCTCCCCTCCTGGCCTCTGATGTCCCCGTCCCCTCTGCCCCTTGCAGCCTGGCATTTTCACCAGTGCATCGGACGCTAACTCTGCTGATCAACAGTCAACATGACGGGTCATTTCCTCCCTCTCAGAACTTTCTCCTCTTAATTTCCATGACATAACCGTCACAGTTTTCTGCCTGTGTCCCTGACTGCTCCCCTTGGCTCCTTCCACAAGCCCATTTCCTTCCTCCCACTCCCTAAAAGGAGAGATTTCCCGACACTGGCTAAAGCCACAAGAGAAAGTCCCCAGGGAGAAGTGGCACACAGGCCTTCTGCTGTCGACCCCCCACCCCCAGGGCTCTCCAGTGTCAACAGGACACAATTGGAAAGTCCTTTGTGTGACACTGGACTTTCTCTTTGTAAACTCTAAACTCCAAGCAATCTCCACCTACTACCACTAAGGCACGGCCCGGAGAACCTGACACCCAGCCATTGCCAGCACGACTTCCGGCGGCTCCTGAATGACCCGATCCAAGTCTCCCCGCCCTTCTGTTCCTCCCCGAAGCCTTTCTGAGCTGCTCCAATTTAAGTGCTCTCTTTCTCCCTGAGGACTCCCATTGAATCCACTGCATGTGCCACCCACTCTTTTTTGCACCGCCTGCCTTGATTGTTCAGTTCCCATCTCAGGTGTGCGTGCCTTGTCTCTGTTGGGAGCGCAGGAAGCATCCCTGCTTACCTTCTGACTAGCATGCTTCCTCCCCAAAGTGTGGGGCAACATCCCAGAATAACCAGCGTTTTAGCTTGGGTTCAGGTGGAGGTGAAGGTATCTCCTCTGGAGCTTGAGGAAGGTGTCTGCAGCGTCCTCCTGCAGGTGTGGAGGACGCTGTTGGAAATGTGGGTCTAGCACCAGAAGCCTGTTCCTGTGTGTCAAATCTGTGAGACTGGGCGTGACTGTTCAGGGGACAGTGCCCAGTAAGGACCAGGGAACCCGTGGCTGAAACCACTGATTCATCCTGGAGTCTGGAGAGAGTTAGGAGCAAAGGAAGGAGAAGATCCAACACTACCCTAAATTGCCACCTTGGGCCCTCCTTTAAGGACATTTACCACTTTTAGTCTTTTTTGAATGCTTTGGGCCCAAATCTTCAGCATCCTAGTATAGGGTGAGCTCCTTGAGAAAGCGTCTGAGCTCTTCACTGTGTCTCTCTTGCTCATCAGACACGCAGACGCACGCTCTGGCCTGGCAGCTGGGCTGCATCTTTAGGTTGTGGAGATGCCGTGGTACGAGTCCTGCCTTTGAGGATCTCGGCCCAGCAGGTGTTCAGACGTACACACCGAACAGGTGTAACGATCACCCCGCAAGTGCCAGGGGGAAGCAGGGTCCCCACGCTCACAAAACTCACACTCCAATACCACCCTTTGGGGTCATCCGGTCCTCTTGGACAAGGGGGCTTTGGTGCTCTACACACACACACACACACACACGCACACACACACACACACACACGCTAATCTAAACAGAATCAACACAGGCGGCGTATGTGAGCGGCATGTGCGCCAATTCTAACACCCAGAGCAGCAGCCTGTCCTTCTCTGAGTCTTTAGTTATTAAAATTATCCTAGCTGGGTGGCAGCAGTGACCCTTTGGTTGGGGGCATGTGTCTGAGGGTTTGGAGCCAATCTCCAACCCGAGTCCCTGGGGACTCTGGGCTCCCCGAGTCGGGCTGTCTGGGGCTCATTTGACCACATCAGCTCCTTTTCCTCCAGCAGTGGGGGTCTGGGGGTGGGTCCAGGCTTTCTGAAGGACCCAGGCTGGCCCCTCCTGAGTGGTCGTCATTTCCTCCCAGCCAGCCAAGCCATGTGGAGTGGGCTCCTCCTGGGATCTCACTGCTGTATTTCCGCAGCACCCCCACTCCCTGCCCACGCTTGCCCACGTGGTGTGGGCACCGCTCTCCAATTCTGCAGGGAGGGGTTGTTCTGCCCACGCTCGGGGAACAGCGGGCTGTGGCTGTGCCCTGTCCACCGCAGCTGGGCACAAGCCTCTTGGGGGCAGAGGAGAGGCCGTGTGGCAGGCCCACTTCCAGTTGCCACTCCACTGAGTCACTTCCACTCCCCAAGTGGTGCTCAGAGACCACCCAGGAAGGGAACAGCTCGGAGGGGGCAGATGGCAGGCCAGGACTAGAGCCCATGTCTTTGACTCTCAAATCTGTCATCTTCACAGCAAATCACACTGTGTCTCGGGGATCCAGGAAGGCTCCCATGTCAAGAACCTCCCGCTGGAGTGTGGGAACAATCGCACAGGTGGCTGCTAATGGCTCAGACAAGCCAGCGGGAAGCTCTGAGGTGGACCTGTCACCAAGAGGCTGGTGGCAGCCAAGTGTCCCCTAGGGGCATGTGTGACAAGGACGGGGTGCCAGCTTGCATGAAAGGATGTGGCAGCCTGGGAGGCCCAGCCAGCTAGCTGTGGGACAGGAGGGGCCTCGGGGTGGAAATGGCTGGGCTGGCAGAGTGGGCCTGGCCCTCGGCCACTGGTGGGCTGGGCTGCCCAACAAGCGTGTTTTCTTAAATACCGTCCTCACCACCGCCCCTTCCCCCCCATAACACATCACATCACCATGTTTGCTTTGAGCAGGGGCGTGAGCCTTTGCCAACAGATGTAACTGGAAGATTAGTGGCCTCTGGAGGAGCACAGGAAGGGCTTTTCTGGAATGGGCTGCCCACCTGCTCTGCCAGGCACTTTACTTTTTCCACTTGGGTGAGAAAAATCCTAGTTCTTCACACCCCAGAGATCTCAGAGGCCAAATATTTGCTGTCTGCCCTGCCGTTTCCATGGCAGGTAGAGGTGGCGGCTCTTCCTGCCTGGGACTCAGCCCTGCCTCCTCCCAGCTCTGCAGCCCTCCAGTCCCTGGGATGTTACGGGAGATCACAGAGGGTTTCCCAGAGCCTGGAGGAAAAATACGCAAGAGCTGCCCTCAAGGCCTCAGTGGATGAGAACTGCACGTGGTGGGGCTGCTGGTTTTGAGCAGGAAAGGAGGTGAGAGGCAGCGCTCGGGCCTCTGCATGGGAGCCCACGGTCTCCCACCACCAGCAAGGAGGCCCCAGAACCCGATGACATGAGTCTGCATGTCCTCCTCGGGCACCTCCTCCTAAATATTCACAGCTCTTTTCTCCTCACTGCACGGGATTTCAGCGCTGGCTGTCCACCCCTCACTGTAAGTCTCTTACAGTTTTTGTCTGTTCCGGCGGCAGAGCCCAAACCACTCTAAGAACACGCAGATCTTACCACCACCATCGAGGCCCAGGGCAGAGCAGCTGACGCCCGTGGTAAGATGTGGTCCAAGACCTTGCCAGAGGCTCTGCCGATGGCCTGCCCTGGCCTGCTGACCGGGGAGGGTACAGCTCCGAGGATGTGGCGGCTGGGAGCAGGAGCTCAGTGGGCGGGGCTCCTCACTGCCACCAAGGGAACTCCCTGGGGTTGATTATAACTGGCCCGGCTCATCCCAGACAGCCCAGGACGTGGTGAGGCCACCAGAAAGCACAGAGAGACAGTGCCAGAGGCCAGAGGGAAGGAAGCAGCAGAGTCAGGGGTATACTCTGGACTAGAAGCCAAGAGCCCTGGGCGCTCATCCCCCTGACTCGCTGTGACTTGTAAGCAGTCACTTCACCTGTCCACAGGACCAGCGACATAATTTAGGGGTAAAATGAAAGGGGGGTTCCCTTGCTAAAAAATTATTAAGGATTTTAAGACAGCATCAGCAGAGCATTAAGCCAAGTGCGGGACCCTGTGGGATGGCACAGGTCGCGCACCCAGGAAGCCAGCCCTACCTGCTTGGGCCTGAGTTTCCTCAGCCACACAATGTAGAGGCTGCATTGGGTCAGGGGTTTTTCTGTGGGGCCCTTTCTTCCAGCAAACCCTTAGCCTTACATGTAAAACAGACAAGCAGCCATGCTGGCTGAGGCAGGCTCCAGAGGTCTGGCCCACTTCCTCTGCCCCCCAACCTGCCAACGACACCTGAGAGTGTAGTGCAGCGCCCTGGGATGCTCCTGAGGGCCCTTTTCAGGTTCGACTTTCAGGAAATTCACGGGGTGGTGAGGTTCTCCTGCTGGCACACAAGCATGTGCCTGGGGTGTCGTAGGGGGATTACCGAAAGGCTCCAGGGATGGCATTTAAAAAACCTCAAAGGTTTCCTGTCCCATAGGATGACTCCAAAGCCTGCTTCTCTAGCCTCACAGTGAGCTTGACGACCAAGTGTGGTCTCTCCTGGGCATCTTTCCTGGCCCAGGAAAGGCCACTGGGACCACTTCTGGTTTTCATTCCCATCTCAAGAACCAGCCGCAAGGCCCCTTGGTGATGGCGCCCACTGCCCGGCGCTGGACCACAGGGCTTCCCCAGCTGCTTGTCCCAAGGAGGTCAGAGGGCAGGTCAGGTAGAGTTCAAAGGTTGGGAGGGACAGGGCCTGGGAGCTGGGGGGCTCTGACACAGCAGGTCTCTTCTGGGGAAGGGCTGAAGTTCCTGGGGGGCCCTAGACCTGGCCCTCGGGGGAAGAAGGCCGGGCAGGGACTGCAGGAGGCTCAGGGACTGTCCTCAGGGCGGGGATTTACACTGCTGGAAACTTGGGCTGATGACACGTTTCTGCGCTGACTGGTAAAGGGATCAGAAACTTCTCTGGACTTTAAACTTGTTTTTGAGGCTAGAGCAAGGGCCGAGAGCAGGGCTGCGCGGGGCGTGCGCGTGAGCGACCCCATCCTCCCTCTCCGCTCTCGCTTCTCGGGACCGCAGGGCGCCGTCCCGTCCTCCCAGTGCCGTTCGCGGGGTGACCAAAAAGGCGGGGAGACGCCCGGAGGCGCCTGCAGGCCCGGGCCCCCAGCCCGCCGCGCCGCTTACCTTTCATCGTCCCTCCTGCCGGGCCTCGGGCCGGCCCGCGCGGGCGCTCGCGCTGCGGTGGAGCCGGGGCCGCCAGGTCCTCCCGGGGCGCCGGTCGCCGCCCTACGCGCCGCCCGCGGCCGGGGGGCTCGGGCGGGGAGTCATGCTCCGGCGGACCGAGGGGAGGGCCGCAGGGTCGCAGCCGGGGACGCCCCGCCGGGCGCCTAGCGCCGCGCCCCGCCGCCCAGAGCGCGCATCCCGCCGCCGCCCGCGCTTCCCGCTGGGCCCGGCGAGGTCTGCCGCCGCCCGCGCCCCGCGCCGCCCTCCCTCCGCTCGGCCTCGGCCTCGCCCTCCCTCCCCTCGTCACTTCTTGGGCCCCGGCCCAGATCAACTTCCTCGGTATTTTCAAAACTGCCGCGGCCGGCCTCTTTGTGCCGCCGCCCCCGCGCCCGGCCTCGAACCCGGCCCGCCGCGTCCTCCCCGCCGGGGCCGCCACGCGCCCGGCCGCGACTGCGATGGGGGACGCTGGGGGAGGGGTCTTCCAGCCCAGTCGAGTCCACTATTGCGACCGCCACGTGGCCGGGGCGGGGGGCGGGACCTCGGATTTTAGCCCTGCACGTTTTTCTCCCCCATCTGCGGGGCGCAGGGACTGGGGGAAGGGAGGATTCCCGGGTTCCAGCCCAACTCCAACCGTCCGGGTTTGCCCCAGATTGTTCCCATTTTAGCGCCCCGAGTTCGACATCCCGGGCAGATCGGGACGGTTGGTCACCCCGTGGACATCCTGCGACTTCGGGCATCCACTTCATGTCTCCGATCCTTAGTTTTCCGCATGAAAGGACTGGGCCTGGAACGCCCCCGAATTCTGGGATGCTGTTGGTGGAGGGGCCTCTGGTGTAAACAATGACATCTGAGGGGAAGTGACCTCAAGCAGGGAGTCGGGACTCTGGCCATAAGCGCTCCCCCGGATCCCCGCGCGTCATTTTTCACTGATTGAACAAACATGTACTGAGCACCTGCCAGGTACCAGGCTCTGCCCCAAGCTCTGGGGAGAGTGGCGAACGCGTCACATGGCCAGTCTGGTGAGGAGAGCCAGTAATTAATAGAGCAAAAACACAGAGGTGCGTGAGCGTTATGAGAAGAACGGGAGAAGCGGGACCACAAAGTGGGGACAGTCCAGTCTTGACTGCCACCGTCAGCCCCTTCTCCACATCCCCAGGCCTCCACACCCACCCCGTTTAAGGCTGGTGAGGCCCAAGTGGAGAGAAAGCATCTCCTAAGCCGGGAGCAGAGAAGGAGCCAAGGACCAGAAGAGGCAGCACTCGGTCATCTGTAACCCCGCCAGCTTGCCGTGACAGGTTTGCCGTCTGAAAAGTGCCTTGCCTCCGTTATCTCTGCAGGACCTCACAACAACCCTGAGGGAGGCAGCCCAGGAACTATGCTGCCCATTTTACAGATGAGGAGACTGAGGTTTAGGGAGGACATTAGAGCGATAATCATTATGTACTCCTGCGACCTTGTATCTGGGGTCCGAGCCTGCCGCGTGAGCCCGAGTCTCCCAGGATTGTGGCGTGGGTCAGTCAGGAGAGCTGCTTTGTAAACACCAGGGACATATTCACGTCAAAGGAGCTTTTACCTCTGAGGTTACCTGCATGTTAACTTTTGTAATCTTCACGTCGGCCTTATGAGGTAAGCACCATTATTGTCGTCATTTCTCAAAGGAGGAAACTGAGGCATGGTGGGGATAAATCATGTGCTTCGCATCAATGTAGCTGGTAAGTGGAGACCTTGGGATTTGAACCCAGGCAGGCTAAATCCAGCCAGTGCACGACACTGCGTCATAGAAAGTGCTCGAATATTTGTAGACGGGACAATAAATGTGGGAATGTAGATTACAGCTATTATGGAAAACAATGTGGAGGTTCCTCAAAAACAAAAACTAGAACTACCATGTGATCCAGCAATCCCACTGCTGGGTATATATCCGCAAGAAAGGAAATCAGTAGATCGAAGAGATATCTGCACACCGTGCTTATGGCAGCGCTATTCACAATAGCCAAGATAGAGAATCAACGTAGGTGTCCCTCAGCAGGCGCGTGGATAAAGAAAATGTGGCATAGATACACAACGGAATACTATTCGGCCATAAAAAATGAAATCTCGTCGTTTGCAGCAACGTGGATGGAGCTGGAGGTCATCACTCTAAGTGAAATGAGCTGGATACAGAAAGGCAAATACTGGGTGATCTCACCCATACGTGGGAGCTAAAAAAGTGGATCATGGAAGTAGAGAGTAGAGTTGTGGTTACCAGAGGCTGGGAAGGGAAGGGGAGAAGGAGGAGGAAGAGAACTTGGTTAATGGGTACAAATATACAGTTACGCAGGAGGAACAGGTTCTAGTATTCAGTAGTAGGGAAATTATAGTTAACAAAGATTTACTGTATATTTCAAAATAGCTAGAAGAGAAGAATTGGAATGTTCTCAACACAAAGAAAAGATAAATGTTTGAGATGATGGATATTCTTATTACCCTAGTTTGATCATTATGCATTGTATGCATGTATTAACATATCACACGTACTCCCAAAATGTATACAGCTGTGATATATCAATAAGGAAAAAAAGAAATAAAAGTAGAGCCTACATCATAAAGAAAAGAAAGAACAAAACAATGACCCATGCTTTCTTTAGTCAGTGGGAAGAGGGCCTAACCCTGGTGTGCGGGGTGCTGACTCGCAGCCCCTGCCCCTTTGAGACTGGGGGTGTCTAGTGTGGGCGTATCCTGGGGTGTTGCCGCAATGATGCAGACACATCAGCAAAGAAAGGCAGGGATGCTGGCGCCTGGTCGCGGATGGGCCCTGAGTGAGCAGAGCGGGGCCCCAGCCCTGAAGACGTACAGAGGAGGAACCCCAGTTCCAAAAGGACTCCGGGGAGAGCGGCCCAGCCTTGTGCGGTGGCAGAAAAAAGCACAAGTGTTGGCGGACAGAAGAGGTCACAGAGTGAAGGAGACAGCAAGAGGAGGGTGAAGAAGGAGCCAGCCCCCATCACAGATGAGCAGGGAGGAGCCGGGATTCCTTAGAATCTGCCCCAGCCTTTGGGGGAAGCTTCCAGCTGCAATTTCAGGCAATTGCTACCAACAACTAGAGAGAGGTGGTCCCAGAGTTGACTGGAAGAGACCAGATTAGGGGCTCACTGGGATGTGGCGCAAGCTGGGATTACAGGTCAGGAGCACAGCAGGGGTGGGGAAGGCAGGACTGCTTAATACTTAATGCTGTCTTCAACTCGGGCCGTGTGGGGGTAGCTGATTGCTGCACAGGGGCCATACCACGTTGAAAGTCAAAGGAAATAGCTAAAAAGCAGAGGCCACTTAGAGGGGGAAAAATGGGATCACCGATGCCAGAACCCTCCCGTATGAATGCAGGGAGAAAGTCCACTCAGCGTTCTAGAAACAGTGTTGTCATTTGCCCAGAATATTTCAGTTCACCCCAGCTCCCTGCCTAGAAGCCTCCTTAAAAGATTGCCCTTTCTCTTTTCTACTTCAGGCAAAAAACATCCCTCTCCTTCTAACCTCTTCAGCCATTCTGTAGCATTTTAACTCTGTGCTAGTCAGGGTTCTCCAGAGAAACAGAACCAATAGGATGTGTGTATAGATGTCTACATCTCTCTCTGTATCTACAGCTATAGACATAGGTATAGAGGGGGAGATTATATAGGTAGAGACAGAAATAAAGATTTTGAGGAATTGGTTCATGCAATTGTGGAGGCTGGTATGTCCAAAATTTGCAGGGCAGGCTGGGTTGGCAAGCTAGAGACCCAGGGAAGAGTTAATGTCATAGCTTAAGGCCAAAGACCATCTGGAGGCAGAATTCTCTGTTCCTCAAGGAAGCTCAGTCTTCTGTCTCTTAAGGCCTTCAACTGATTAGCTGAGGCCCACTAACATTATGGAAGGACATCTGGTTTACTCACTTAAATGTTAATATCACCTAAAAATACCTTCACAGAAACATCTAGAATAATGTTTGACCGATCATCTGGGAACTGTGGCCTATCCAAGTTGACACATAAAATTAACCATCACAAGCATCATTGACAGCTCCTTGTCAACTCTCTCTTCTTCCCTGGTTTATCCGACTCTACATACTTGTGGCTCTCTTTCTCAACTTCTTTGAATTCTCTTTCTCTATTGGCTCCTCCTATTGGTACATTTTCTAAATACAAGCATGCCCTATCCTTATGTTAGTGTAAACAACACTCCCTGCTGTAGCGACAATCCCCACATCCCACTATCTTAATACAACCAAAGTTTATTCCTCACTCACATCACAATCCAGTATGGGGTTGGGAAGTTCTCTTCCAAACAGTGACTCAGGGACCCAGGGACATTCTGTCTTGTAATATACCACTATCTCCAACATATGGCCTCTAGGTTGCTACAAAATGGAAGAGAGAATGGACGACCATGCGTAGGAGAAGTTTATGGGCTGGAAGTGGTATACAGCACTTCTACCAACATCCCACTCACCAGAGCCCAGTATACTGGGCTCAACCTAGTAGCAAGAGGGCTTGGAAATAGAGACATCCATGTGCCCTGGAAGGAGAGGAGAAACACACATCAGCGGGCACCATGGTTCTCTGCTCGGTTCGCCTTCCAGGCACCTGTTTGCTCTCTTCTTTTCACACATAAAACACATTCACCCTTCCCCATGGGGACAACTCAAATTCCCTTTTGGTCATTGCATGGAGCTCGGGTTCTAGGCTCTCTGTGTGACTCTCAGTCTTTTTCATCAGGGCTGTGTGTGGCTCCCATATAAACTGGAGGAGCATGGATCAGATAATCGCAATAAAAATGCCCATTTAGGCCGGGCGCGGTGGCTCACGCCTGTAATCCTAGCTCTCTGGGAGGCTGAGGCAGGCTGATTGTTTGAGCTCAGGAGTTCGAAACCAGCCTGAGCAAGAGCAAGACCCTGTCTCTACTAAAAATTAGAAAGAAATTAATTGGACAACTAAAAATATTTAGAAAAAATTAGCCGGGCATGGTGGCGCATGCCTGTAGTCCCAGCTACTCGGGAGGCTGAGGCAGGAGGATCGCTTGAGCCCAGGAGTTTGAGGTTGCTGTGAGCTAGGCTGACGCCACGGCACTCTAGCCCGGGCAACACAGAAAAAAAAAAAAAAAATGCCCATTTAGAAAAGAAAGGATGACACAGAGTAGCTATTTGTCTGTGGAAATATTGAGATCCCTCATATGCTGTAAAGCCCCCTAACCGTGGGGTGGGGGAAATACTTTACTTACGTCTTGATTCAGCTCTCTGGAGGAACTCTCCGTTGCATG